TCCTCGCCCGTATAATGCCCCTAAGGGAGCCTTACGCACGGTCACCTTGGAAACTCGCAGGGCGCCCCCGCCCCAACCACTCACACACAAGTATGCGCCCAATACGGCCCAATTGGGGGAGGTCGCATTGCGTCCAGGCCGTATTCGCATACTTCGCACGGGTCGTGCAATATAGGGAATCACGGCCCCAGTGTGGTTGCGCGCATGTAATCCCCGCGCCAAATCGGCATGCCCCTCGCCCTGATCGCGCCCCATAAACGGGCTCCAACTGCGGCCACTGCGGTGCCGCAGGCATGCGGTCCTCGCCTCAAGTCGCCACGCCCGTCACACTGGCCCGCACTATGGCCCCAATTGAAGAGCGCGCATGGCATCTCTGCTTCATATCGGCGCACCTGTCACACGTATCGCATGGCCACAGTGGGCGAGCTTCCATGGCGTCCAGAGCCCCCGCGTCAAGTCGGCACACTTGCACTCGCTTCACGCGCCATGTGGCTCTTCACCTACAGCTCCAGTGGTGCTTCTTTTGTGTGCACGGCGCCCCCACCGCGACTCGGCACACATCGCACGCGTTTCGTGCACCATCGGGAACCTCACTATGGGCAAAATTAGTGAGCTCGGATGGCGCTATGCCTCAATCCAGCACACCACTCGCATGGATGGTGCACCATGGAGAATTTCACATTCTCCCATGCCGCCTCGCCAAGATATGAAGAGAGGGCCGTCCTTACGCTATGCGGCTGGGTACTACGCGAAGATTTTTTCCCACATCCAGAAGTGGAGTTCTTGTTTTCTCTGAACGCCCCCACCCCCGCGCAGGATCTATTATCACCCCTCTCTTCCACGCCATCACCATAATCGCCGTCATAATCGCCATCATCATCATCAAGCCCATCATTAGGGTCATTCTCAACGCCGCGATGAGATCCATCTCTTCTCTGGACCACCCCTATAAACCGTAACCCTACTCACCCTAACCGTATAAACCCTAACCCTGCAGACCCGAATCCTACAGACCCTACCCATACAGACCCTGCTAACCTTGCAGGCCCTACCCCTACAGACACTAACCTCACATACCCTAACCCGGCAGACCCTAACCATACATACCCGAACCCTACAGACCCTACTAACCCCACATATCCGAACACTACAGACTCGAACCCTGCAGGCACCAATCCTACATACCCGAAGCCTAGTGGCCCTAACCCTAGATACCCTACTAAACCCACAGAACCTAACCCTACAGCCTCTATACCCGAATCCTGCAGGCCCTAACCCTGCATACCCTAGCCATACAGATCCGATTAACACTGCATACATTAACCCTGCACAATCTAACTCTACAGACCTTAACTCTGAATATCATAACCCTACATGGCCTAAACCTACAGACCCTATTAAGTCTACATCACCTAATCCCACATGGTCAAACCCTACATGCCCAGCCACGCCAGACCTTGACCTTACAGACCCTAGCCCGACACGCCCTACGAACCATACACCATGCCCGCATACCATAGTCCTACTTACCCTAACCATTCATGCCCTATATATGCCAAGCCTACACACCCTAATCCTACATACCCTAACCCTACATACCCCACTATCCCCACAGGCACTCACTATACGGGCTCGTAACTCACATACCCCAACCCAACATGCCCTGACCGAACAGACCTGACCCTGTAGACCCCACTAACCCTACAGACCCTAACACGACACACCCTAACCCTACATACCCGCACCCTACAGACCCGGACCCTACAGACCCGAACCCTACTCACTCTACTGTACCCACAGACCCTACCCCCACATAATCGAATCTGCATACCCTATCCCTACATAGCCTAACCCTACAAGCCCTAACCCTGCATACCTACGAACCCTACATACCCTGACCTTAAAACACTCTAACACCACATACCACATACCCTAGCCCGACATAGCCTAACACTACAGGCCCAACCCTGCAGAACCGACCAACCCTACACGCCCGAACAATACATACTCCAAGCCGACACATCCGAACCCTACATGTCCTGACCCTACAGACCCTCCTACAGACCCTGACCCTACATGCCGTACCAACCCTGCATGCCCTAACCGTACGGACCTTTACATCACATCCTCTATCCCTACATACCCTGATCCTACAGGCCCTAACCATACATACTCTAACCCAACACAACCTATCAACCCTACAGTCCGTACCTCTACGGACTCTAACCCTACAGACCTTATACCTACAGGTCCTAACCCTACATACCCTGACCCGACAGACCCGAATAACCCGATAGACACTAACACTACATACTCTAACCCTACGTACCCTGGCCCAAAATATTCTAACCCTACAGACCTTAACCTTACAGACCACTTAACCATGCAGACCCTAACCGGACATACTCTATCCCTACATACCCTAACCCGGCAGACCCGACTAACCCTTCATACCGTGACCCTACATACTACTCTAACCTCGCAGGGAACCCTACAGACCTAACCCCACAGACCCTAACACTCCAGACCCTACTAGCCCTACAGGCCCTAACCTTACAGACCCCAACCCTACAGACCCTTACACTACAGACTCGAACCCCACAGAGCCCGAACCCTACAGACCCTATTAACCCGACAGCCCCTAACCTGACAGACTCTAACCCTACAAACCCGAACCCGACAGACCCTAACCCGGCATACCCAAACCTTACATACCATACCCTCAGCATACATACTCGAACCTCACATGCTCTAACCCGACATACCCTACACCTACATACCCCAACCCTACCGGCCATAATATCCCTCTACACCCTCACACCACAGACTCCAGCCCTGCATACCCGAACCCTGCATGCCCTAGCCCTACACTGGGGATGTGGTGAGGAGCTCGTGAGGTGGCCCGAAACACCTGGGGACGCTCGGGGCGAAATCGACCCCAGCACCAACATGCTGGGGACGCACGGGGCGAAATCGACCCCATCATCAACTTATGCTCGCTGAGATCACGTCGGCGGCTCAAGTTATATACATAATCCATACAAGTTTCGCGTGCCGATATTATGCTAATGCTACCCGAATCGATCAATAACTCATGTTGTCGTATCACCTTATATGTCACGGTTTTTGCGGTCTTAACATGACACCATAGGAAAACACAACACTGCATCAACATCTCGGACGCGAATCCAGCGGGGGATCTGCATATAGTGAACCGTTTGTTCGCGAGACAGCAGCTATCTTGATCATAGTTCACGATTTTTGTCAGGAGTGTACAATAGTCGGGGGGGGGGGAACACGCGCCCGATGTTCAGAGTGTGGGTTACTTAACTCGATCGTCGGTGCGCTGCCGGGAGCGTCGCGACTCGCCGCGGGACGTCGATCGCCCTGCTCACCCCCATTTAGATTTGCCGTGAGTTGGTCAGGTAGAGGGTGAGAGCTCGTCGCCACGGCTGGACTCGGCTCGATTCAAACGATCGGGCGTCTGGGCGGGTCGCGGTTTCGAGCACGTTTTCGGCGCTCAACTCAGACGTTCGGGCTCCTCGAGGGCCCCCGGGTGCCCCGATGCGGGGGCCCAGCGGCGCGCGCGCGCTCGCGATGTCGATCGCGGCAGCCCTCGCGCGAGCGCTGCTGGACCACGGTGTCCTGCAGCCTGCGGCCCCTGACGGCCCACGGGTGGTGCTCCAGAGTGCTGGCGCGGTGAAGGCCGTGGCGGCGCAGGTGGCCCGCGACGTGCAGGTGCCGCGCGTAGGACGAGGGCGAGGAGGGCGAGGTAGATGAGAATGGGGGACGGATGAGGAGGGCAAAGATGCATAAAGGGGGAGGATGGGGGGAGGGAGGAGGAGGAGGAGGAGGAGGATCAGGATGATGAGGAGGAGAAGGAGAAGGAAGAGGAGGAGGAGCAGGAGGAGGCGGATGAGGAAGATAGCTATAACGAGGAATCAGGGGTGATTGAATCCGAAGGGTATGCGACTGGTACTTCCTCCCCCTCCCTCTCCTCTTCCTGCTCCTCCTCCTTCCTCCCCCGCCTTACTCAGCCTATTCGTCCCCCCTCCCACCGCCCACCTCATCTATCAATCCACCTCCCCCCCCTCATCATTCCATCCTCCGCCCTCCTCCACAACCCTCCTCATGTTCCCTCCTCCTTCTCGTCTTCCCAGGTACTCCCGCCTCCATCCACCTCGCACCTCGTCCCATCTCCCCTTCTCCCTCCTCGTTCCTCCTCCTCTCCTCCTCCGCCCCCTCCTCATCCTCATCCTCCTCTTGCTAGTCTCTCCTCCCACCTCCTCCTCCTCATCCTCATCACCCCCCCTCCTCGCTCATGCGGTTTGCTCCTCCTCCTCCTCCTCCTCCTCCTCCTCCTACTCCTCCTACTCCTCCTGCTTGCTCCTCCTTCGCAGGCGCATCGTGGATTCCCATGGGTTCCAGCGCACGCCGCGCCCTACAGCGTCGCCGACGTCGGTCTCGTGCTCCGGGAGCACTTCGGGCTCGACGTCGCCACCCACGTCGGCGCCGTCGAGGAGGCGGTGTGCACGAAGCTGGAGGCGCTCGGTCGACACCGTCGACACCGCCCTCAGGTGTGCGCGTTTGTTGCGGGGTGGAGGGTTCAGCGTTCAGATTGATCGAGGGTCCGGGGGCTCGGGGGCCTTCGTCGCGCGGCGGCTGGGCGCGGTTCGGAAAACGAGGGCGGCGTGGACAGCGAGGGCCTAATGCGGAGGAGGGGAAGAGGCTCAAGAGGCTGAGGAGGGAGAAGGAGGATGAGGGGGATGAGGAGGAGGGGGGATGAGAGAAACAGACGATGCTCACGAACAGAAGCGGGGTGCTGCGCGGCTTCGGTTTATGATCCCTCTCTCTCTCATTCTCTCTCCTTCTTCTCCCACCTCTCTCCCTCTCCCACCCCTCCCTGCCGCCCCTCGTTCCCTCCCCTCCGTCAACTGCCTGCCAGTTTTTCCCTCTTTCCCCCGCGCCCAAGGGGGGGAGGTGCGGGGGCCCAGCCCTGCTCAAACAACTACTCCCCCAGCCGCAGCCGCGGCCGCAGCCCCCGCGGCCGCTGCAGGGCCCAGCCGGCGCGGGCGAGGCGCAGCTGGTGGCGGCGGCGCCGCCAGCCGCAGCGACGCCAACGCCTGGCCCGGCGGTGGGGAGGGTGCTGGCCCGGGTGAAGCTGCGGCGCTGCCGCGGCGGTCGTCCCACAGCAGTGCTCGTGAAGGCCGAGCGGAGGCAGCACTCCAGGCTGGGCGGGATCCAACTGGTCGCCCGCGCTCCGATGAATCAGCGCGCCTGGCGGCCACGCTGCTCCGCGCGCTGCTTCGTCGAGGTCAGAGCGGCTGGCCGTTGGTTCTCGCCTGT